TAGATTGTGTTCTGAATTTCTTTGGGGTCATAAATTTCACTTGGTGAATTGGGAATCTGTTTGTCAAGGGAAGAAGCAAGGGGGTCTGGGGATTTTTTCAGCAAAGTTCTGGAACTATGATGCTGCTACTAAGCTCCTATGGATGGTTCATCTTAAAAATGATCTACTATGGATCAAGTGGATACATGGGAACTATTTACAGAATAAAAATATCTAGGCTGTTCAACCCAAGTCAAATGATTCATTGATGTGGAGACAACTCCTTAAGGTGAGAGATATGTTGCTGCACAAGTTTGGAAGTGCTGATAATATAAAGAATGCTATAGCTGAATGTTACACTGATGGAAATCTTCAATTATCTGCGGTGTATAGGACTCTTGTCCAGCCTGCCAACGTAGCTGCCTGGGCACAAACTGTTTGGGATGACTTTCTATATCCTAAACATTCTTTTGTATTGTGGCTAGCTTGTCATTCAAGACTTCTCACCAAGGATAGATTGTGCCGAATGGTCACCAATTAGTCTCATTGTGTCCTGTGTAATGGTCACCAATTGGAGACTAGGAACCATGTTTTCTTTGAGTGTCAATACTCAGCTGAAGTCTGGAACTTGGTGATGGACTGACTGAGATATAGGTGGAGGACCTGTGTTTGGAGTCTGATTTTGAACTGGTACTCCTCTAATTTGAAAGGCAAGGGCTCTATGGTAAAATTGAAGAGGATGTGTCTCTCTACTACAGTTTATATGATTTGGAAGGAGAGGAACCTTAGAACCTTTCAAGCAAAAGAAATGTAACTTGCTCAGACTTTTAGAGATATCAAACTTTCAGTTTTTTCAAAAGTTCAAAATGACAGTATATATGTGCATATAAAAGAGTTACTTGAAAACTTGTAAATTTTCTTTTGGTTTCCAGGCTTTCTGGTTCCTTGCTGTTCTACACATTGTTTCAAAATTGGGAAATGAATAAAATTTCAGTTCATTGACAAAAAAAAAGTGTGGGTATATGTAGTGAAATATCTAGATCCGTAAATAGAATATCTGAATATATATACATGTAGTTGTAATTCTTTCGATTATTAAACTATTGGATTTGAGATCAAATTTAATGATTCGTCTTTATCTTAACTTTGTTGACATGCAGAACATATTAATGAACTCTCTTTGTACATATCACTTATATATTTTGCAAATTTATCTGTGTTATATGAATATATATTTCTCTTATTTTAAATGTACATTGATTCAATTTTTTGGATATGGATATGGGTTCCTCTTTTCGAGAAATTTTAATATTCTTATTAATATCCGTGATTGATAAGCAATTACATATATGATAAGTGTCATACCTAATTTGTATCTTATCTTTTTGCACCATGGTTATCTGTGTTAACACTTTTAACGATATTAAAAGTATCATATCACCCAATTAATAATATGAAAAATTGCTATCGGTCCTTAAAAACCCGTAAATTATAAACACAAACCCTTAAAAACCTAAACATTGCAAAAACATTCACTAAACCAAAGAATTTTGGTTGGTATTGAAAAATCTAAATTTTGGGCAAACTAAGAGTTAGTTTTAAATTTTTGCTATGTAGGAAATACCTTATAGTTGTTGGGATTGTATTTTTGATTCTTTGTATAACTTCATGAAAATTAGATAGAATTAGAGGTTTATCATAATTAGGAGATTGAGTCTCATCATGATAAAGAGTTTGTATCCTATTCTAATTAGAAAGTTAGATTAAATGTATGGTTTTAATTTCTATATACAGTCTTCAATTATTGGAGGAAAACAAAAGAGGAAAAAGGAGGGTGTCACTATTCTTGTAATCTAGAGCGTAAACTATATTCAAGAATAACACGCAAGAGGGAAGGTCTCGCAGTCTTTATCTGTGCGAAAGATTGCAAGGTTGGAAGAGAGTTTCACAGATTTTGTCTATTGAAAAGATTGTAAGGAGAGGGTCTAGGAGAGAATATGAGAGGTTGATTATGCATGTGAGTTTGAGAGACTGAGAGCGGAGAGTTGGGTGTGGTTCCTCTTGTTAGGCTCTCCTTCTACGTACATAGTGAATTTCTTGTATTGTTGCCCCATTGATGTAGACGTTAAATCTCGGTGTTCTTTCTTCTTGATTTGGGTGTTTTCTATCTTGTGATTATGGTTTGGTTTCCATGTTGCCGAGATTGTAGTGCAGGTAGTAAAACCCCCAACAATAATTTTGCTTACTTTATGTACCCTTACTTATTTTTCGTTGCATCTATATTCCCGAACTTATTCAACATTAGCATGTCAGTACCCTATATTATGCAAACATCAAAAATTTCTTCCGAATTTTCATGTATGACATTCAAATGCTAATTGTAGACCTTTTTTAGCTACAATGTTTGTCAAATGCTCTTTCTATGCCTACCAAATTTCTACTTTTAACATTTCGTAATTATGTTTTAAAATAGAACCGGGATAGGTTTAACAGTAAAATTTAATGAACAAGTCTAAAATTAACATGCTATAGAGTACTACCTTGAAAATTATAAATAACATAGATATATAAATGTTTTGAAAAACAACTAAAGATATGTAAGTATAAATCGAGTAAAACTGTAAGGTATTTAAGTGTTATTTAATCTATATTTCTCGAAGGGAGACAGGAGAGATGACACCCAAAAAAAAGAAAAAAAAGAAAAAAAAACTATTTAAGAAGTAACGATTCCTAAGTCCGTAGAACTCCCAGTACCATATTGTATCACCTATAAGAATGTAGGATCTAATTGATGGTGGACTTAAAAGTAATTAAAATTGGTTAACTGTAACTGGGCACCGATACCTTCTACCAATGCAAATGCTAAAATTGGAAAGATATATATATATATAGGCACTGACACAAGCTCCTATAGAACTTTAGAGATGGATTTGAAAAGCTCCGTGCTGCAAAAAGCTCCTTAACTTTCTCTGCAAGCCCTTGACCCCTTAAATTATGCGATCGGTCCAAGTTGGAAACATGGGAGAAAACGAAGAAGCTAACACCATTTACAATTAGGGGCTGTTTGGTTCTTTTTTTAACTCGGAGGAAAAGTTTTACACCACCTCCACATCAGATTTTTCGTGGCCACGTAGGATATAAGCTTTCCGTCGGTTTTTTTCCCATCTTTGGTTCGCTAGAGTTGAAGAAGGAAAACTCGGTGAAAATCGCCGCCACATCAGATTTTTTTCTCTCCCCCAATTCATTCCTCAACCTCGTGAAATCGACGAAAACTGCAGCCACGTCAGCTTTTTGCCATATAAACAAAAGTTTTCCTTTTTTTTTCATGCGAACCAAACACAAGAAAAATAAATACATTGGTTTTTCACCATTTTTTTGTTCGAATCAAAGCGAAACAATCTATTTCTTGGAAAAGTTTAAAAAACTCAAAACTTGTGTTTTTGTACATGAAAATGCATTTTCCTATATCTAGGAAACGAACCAAACAACCCATTAATACTCCTGTAGAACATGGGAAGACAAAAGTAAAAAAGTATGTAGGAGAAAGAGTCAATTACAAGCAAATGTTTGGTGCTTTACCCCCACATTGGTTGTCATGGCACTGTGGGCATATATGCTTGCATTCTATTTTAAAATCAAAAGGGAGATGAGAGATTTGGAACTTGGAAGTATATATAAATATCACATGTGACAAATTAAATAACTATGTGGGAATCCATTCTTGCTTCACATGGAAGTGGCTCCACAAATTCCATGAAGTGCAAGACTGCAAGGGGGATTATAAATATACGTCTAAGAGAACAGTCATGATTAGATTAAAAGCTTAAGCTAGCTGGTTGAGTGATTTTACCTGATATTCTTTATTCTGACGGAGGTTGTGTTACTGTTACTAATCAATAAGATAGAATTGGACAATCCTAACTTTTCGATTTAAAAAGGCTAAATATTAGAAAAACCCCCTGACTTTGGATGATTATCAGAAAATCACTCTTAACTTTCAAAATATCAAAAAAATCTTCCTTAAATATCAGGGTTATCACAAAACTCCCTCCTAACTTTGGATGATTATTGGAAAATCGCTCCTAACTTTCAAAATATCAGAAAACCTCCCTTAAGTATCGAGATTATCACAAAACCCCCCTTTAACTTTTAGATTTTATCAGAGACCCCTCCGTAACTTTGAGATTTTATCAGAAACCCCCCCTAATTTAGAGGGTTCTAATAAAATCTCAAAGTTAAGGGGAGTTTCCTGATAACCCGTAAACTTAAGGGGTTTTCTGATATTTTCAAAGTTAAGAGGGGTTTTATGATACTTAGGCATTTAAGAATTACAAAGTTTAGTACAATATTCTTTTACCATATAAGCATATATTTGAAGTCATAGGTAACTACTTAAACATTTTCCCCATTATGAAAATATATAAAAGGATGCAAGCACTGCTAAAAGGATATCAAAGTGTAGGAATGAAAGAGAATAAAAGCCACCATTAATATCCATGTGGGCCCAATAAGATGCAATACTTAATAACTATCATTTTTGGTCTAATAGCCCCCTAAATTAGTTTCACACTTTAAACTTCTCTCTCAAAGACAAATATAGACTGCTCATCTTATCAGAAACCAACCGTACGCGACGGGTTACGGGTGATTCTGACCCATACAATGGAGGGCAAATTTTACATTGTGTCCCTCCATTTTATCCAGTTAAAGGCTCGTAACCGCCCAGCGCATGCGAGCGGTTCTGATAGAAAGTGGACTCCAACAAAACCCACTAAAGATATTTGAACCAGCTCAAACAATTATATTATTAACATATACGTATCCCATCTAAAGATAGTAGTACAATCAAAATGTAAATTCTAATTACAATTACATTCGTTTTATTATTATGCAAACTCACATTAATCTCATACTAAACTATAAGAAAAGACCACCACTGACTTCTAGTGGGCCCACAAGTAACTCTTCGATGCCACTCCTTTCGTGTAACTTCCCTTTCAAGTCCAAATTCTTCCTTCCTTCAAAGATTTATCTTACTCCATTAATTTCAAAGAAAAAACTCCCCTTCTGCCCTCCCCCCTTCTCTCTCTCTCTCTAGAGAATCTTATAGAGAACAGAGCTTCTGAGCCTCTGCCATCAAAAGGGTCTCTTTGACTCAGTCCATCGATCCAGGGTGAAACCTTATTCGTTTTCTCTGCCAATTGAAATTATTGCTGTTTATTGTTATTTGACTTGCTCTCTGTACTTCGCTTCACCTTTTTCCTCTTCCCTCAACAGGGATGAGAGCTTCCTGGGCTCTGAGATGAGAAGGGCATTGTTTTTGTTTACATATCAATAACAATCATGGGCTCTTGCTCCTCAGTTCACAAGAGTAAGAAGCCACAAATGACGGCTTCATCACCTCACAAGGAGAAGCCGCTCAACGGGGAGAGCGCTGTTAAAGTTGTGGGCTCCCACCTCAGTATGCGAAGCTCCTTTGGTATGATTAATTTCTTTTTAAGTTTTTTTTTAAAAAATATATTGTTTAATGGTTTTGTTTTAATTTTACTTAGATTTTCTTATTTAAGTGGACTTGGGGTCTTTCTGTTTGATGAAACTGATTGGTTAGTACTATGTCTTGCCCTAAACTACATTTCATTTGTTTGTTTCTTATTAAAGAGGAACCCCATCTGTCATTTTAGTTTGTAGTTGTTGTCTTTGTAGATTATGTAAGGATTTCTGGATGGGGGCTTTTCTTTTTCTGAAGATTAATTTGTTAGGAGGATTGTATTGATTTTGAGCCATAGAACTGTAAAAAAAATTTAATGAAATCGCTGTGAGAGTTAGGATTTGTTTGGATTTGGAGCTAGTGAAGGGAAGTTAAGGTAACATAGGAGAAGTTAAGGGAAGGTAAGGTAAGGGAAGGTAACATGTAAAACTTGCTTGGGAAATTAGTAAGGTGAACCAAAACTTATTTCACCTCGTTTGAGAAGTTTTAATGAAGTGATGGGAAGGGAAGGGAATATATATAAAATTACGACAATAACTTCACATGCTATTAAGTCATTTTATTGTTAAAAATTAGATAGAGAGTAAAATATTCTTTCCATAATTGTTTTAATTTTAAAAGTTCCCTTCACCCTCTTTCACCCTCATCCCCCATTACCTAACATAAGT